AAATCGAAATTTCTTCCTTGAAAAACGTTTAAATCCGATATAGATGTTTCCTTCTGTGAAAGTAAAGAGGATTTTTTACTCCACTCAAAATTTGTAATGCATTATCGGCAAAAACTAGTTTACTGCCGGCAAAATCAAAAAACGTGCTTATGTTTGTATTCAGATAATAAAACAATTTCCACATTTACGTGTTTCGGACTAAAGCTACTTGTTCTACGCTCATATATGAAAATTATTTACAAAAATAAATAAGAAGTGGTAAAAAGTGAGGTTAAAATCGTTTAACAGATGTTAGATTTTTTATGACAGGCTACTATGATGATTTTGGAATAGGTTAGATGGCAATTACCCTATTGGTCCAAATTATAATCACACTAAAACCCGTTATAAAATGAATATTATGTAACACCTTATATATAAGGTATTCTATAGAATGTAGGTAATTCCACATTATAAAGTGATATTAAAACGGACATTTTTCGAAATACCTTTTTGTTATTTTGATGTTTGTACAATTTTGATAATGTTAAATTAACATTGTTAATTAAATTAATAATTATATTTCTATTATCCTACTATAGCTTAATGTACATAATATGTATATGTATAACTATGTATATGACTGATTAAAAGTTTAAATATGACCAAAAGTATTAAAATCCATTATACAAATTCGTTTGTTCAATGGTTAATAAATTTAGATATGAAGTGAAAATAATTTCCTTGGTTTAAAAAAAAAACAAATAGTTTAAGGAAACGAAAAAATTCTTTAAAATTTTTAAATTCACCAACATGATTATTATGAAATTTCAACTAAAGTAATGGAAAAAATTAAGTGTTTTTATTTTTTAAGTCTAAATTTATAATTCTCTTAAAGTAGTAGGTATAAAGTTTCTATAATTCTATTTTATCATATATGTTGCAATAGAATTATAGAAACTTTATACTATATACCTACTATTATAATAGAATTATAAATTTAGACTTAAAAAATAAAGAGTTGTATAAACATAAAAGTATATAAAAATTTGTATACAATTAAAAATGGCATTTTGCAGAAATATGGTCTACTAAATTATTACATTTTTACTTTTATTTGCTTTAAAACGTTATAAATTAATTAATTAATTAATTAAAGTAAATTATTCTCATATTTAAATAAATATTTAGTTTGGAATTAAATTTAGGTAATATTAAATATAAAATTAAATTTAATTAAATTACTGTCTTTTCGGATATTTATTTTTCTTATTTACTTTATATTTATTTCGCAAACATTAATAGGTACCTACATAAATTTTATCTTCAATGATATTGAGTTAAGATAAATTACAACGTATCGAATATGGCAAGTTTTCACAAATTTATTAATGCGTTCCTAAATGAATTAAATTCGCTGCCCACTGGGCAAAATAATTGGCCTTTTTCTTTAACACTTGTTTGTATTGGTGATTTTTTAATTGACATTGTTGATAAACCAATTAAATTTAAATTATGCAAATCTACTAAAAATGTCAACAATTTATGTAATGCAGATAGCGTATCGTGAATAATTTTAATGCGTTGACAAGTTTTTCAATAAATTATACTGTTATTATTAATGCAAATTGTTTCTTTAGGTTTTTTGTTTTTATTATTTATTTTCATTTTATTTGTATAAAAATAGAATTCTTTAATATTAGAACCAATGAAATGCCAAAATTCCATAGTTAATATGTTTATTCAACACCCATTTCATTTCTTAACTTTAACCGAAGTAAAATTTCGCCCACTAGTGGGTTTAGTAGCTTTAAGTTAAAATTGGAAAAAAGTTAGTTTAAAACTGCTTAACAGCTGTCAGATATCAGATAAAATTGGCTTTAAATTTCTTGTGGTAGTTGAATAAAATTGTGTGTTCTACTATTGGTCCACTCTCGAGAAATCTCCTTTTTATCCCACCAGTCGCACAATATCCTATGCATAAATTTATAGATGAAAAAACCATGACAGTTTTTTTACATTTAAAATGATTTGTAGTTTTTGAGTTATAATAATTATTGTAATGATTTTTTTAAAAGGATAAAAAATAATTGTCAAAAGGATAAAAAATAATTGTCAAAAGACGTTTCTATTAGTTTGTAACTCGGTTTGTAAGTACCGAGTACCTAGGTAAGTTTGAAAACTTGTTTTTTTTTAATGACTGGCCAAATATGTATTTATGACAGTTTGTGTCAAAAAATTAAAACATAAATCATAGTTTATTTTGCACAATTTCTTTCCATCCATTATATGATCGAAAACATGTACTACTTATTAAGGAGTCGTTCATAAAGAACATCACGCTTTTTTAGATTTTTGACCCCTACCACCCTCCCCCTATGTCACGTCACAAATTAAAAAAGTTAAAATAACAAATTTCGGAGGTCACATTTTCACAACCCTCCCCTTGTCACGTTTTGCTAGACCCCTCCCTCCCCCCTATAAACGACCTTTATAGACGACCCCTAATCAGGAAATATTTTTCCCAAAAATAACATTTTTTTGTTTTTTTTATTTATTTTATATTAGGTATAAATTAACAATAGGTATAAATTAATAATAATATCATAATATCTTTTAAATAGATTATGTATTATTTAAAAACGTACACGGAATAAAAAATAAAGATTACGCAGAGGTCGCCACTGAACAGAGCCCACTGATTTTAAAAACGTTGGCTTTAAAAAAGATGTTTTTAACATTATTGACACCTGTTAAGAAGAAAATAAATCTCCCAAAAAGTACTAATTACAAATTATAACGACAAAGAAAGTATAGGCACTTAATTGTAAAATTGTTTAGGGGGTACCTATTTATTGTTTTTTGCATTTTTATTAAACTACTTGAAATATTTTCTTACCTACAAGAAGTTACAGGAACAATAAAAATATTTTGTTTTGAATTGGCTTTTAAAGAGCACTTGTCATAACAGTTACTGATAACAATGTTTACAAACAATTGGGTTGTTAAAAGTCCCCAGTATTTAAAGTTTTATGTCATCTTAAATGTTAGCAACCGTCCGTCACTTGATTTAAAAGACATTTCAGTAAGTAATAAACAAACGAATGAACAAATACAAAAGATTGGCGAACTTCGTAAATAAGGGGGTTAATGAATCGTAAATTGATATAAATTCCTTCACAATGAAACGAACATTAAAATTGATTTCTGAATAAGCTACGAAAGTAAATGAATCAGATTTTTTTATAATTTTGACACACCTTACACCGTTTATCAGCGGATGAACTAAAACTTCTGAATGACTGAAGACTGAAGTTTCATATAAATATTTGATACATTATTCAAAGAACATGTTCGAAAAGATACGTTCTTTCAATGAAAATCGTTCGTTTTTCGATTTTCATGAATTAAAATTTGTTTGTTTATTCATGTTTGACAACAATCTTCAAAAATATACAAAGGTGACTGATAAGACAGAGCTTACCTATTGTTAAAAGTGTATGGTTCATAATTGTAAAAGAAACACTATAAATTGTACCAAAACTCACTCACACGAACATGCTCGTACTTCACTTAGAGTTAAATGTTTTAAACACGGCACATTTATTAAAGAAACATCAACTTTTCATTGGAAAATGTATTGAAAACACATCACTAAAGCCTGTTCTTGCACCAACATTCCATTGCCATTTTGTCACTGCTCTCGGCTTCTTGCATTCTCAATCAGAGACATCTATACCACATTTCCCAAACCGGTTTACTAGCGACATACCCAACGCCTGTTTTACCGGCATTTTAACCGCCAACTTTAAATTTGTTGCTATTATTGGCTTTTTAAAGCTGTTATGGAAATAAAAAGTGAATACTATAAATTAATAAATGTGGGATACACATTTGTACCATAAAATATAATCATTCAGATTTCAGCTTTTATCAGCGTTTTTTCTTATCAGTAATGGGAAATAAATAAACAATATTTTATGTAAACTACCAAGCTTTACAAATTAGCTTAAACTTTGGAAAGATAAAAGTTTATCTTTTAACTTTATTATAAATTATCACTTTTAATTAAATTAAATCTAATTTTTGTTTTGAGAATATTAATTTATATAAATAAATAAAATATAGATTAAAAAATAGTGGGCAATGACAGCAAATTCAGCGGTGCGAATGTAGTAAAAATAAAACGATGTATTTTAATTAACAAATTAATTAAATTTAAAAATTAAGGTTTAACACTGTCATATTTTGTGTTTCCAAGTTTGCAGCACGAAATTTGAAATGAATATTTGAAAGTGATAAAAGTATAGTTTGTTCTGTGGTATAGTATGCAGCTCGTTTAATAAACTTCTCTAGACACTCGTTTTTATTAAACACTTGCTCGCAAGCTTCGCTCGTGCCTAATAAACTAAACTAATTAAAATGGCGTTTATAAAACTTGATACATAATATATTAAGCCATCAACGTGATCCTCTTAGGTAGCTAGAGTTTAAAAACGAATTTTTGAAAGAATCTATCCATGGATATAATATATATATATGCATATAATATATGGAAAATAACACTTGTGAAGAAGTGTTATTTCCCATAGATTATTTTAAAAACTTGATTGTTTAGTTTATTCTTTATGTAAACCTCATGAGCGAGCTGAAACATAATTTGTATTGTCCATGGTTAATTTAGTTTAATTTTTTTGATAAAAATAATTTATGGTCAGTTTTTGTCTAAGGTTTTTGTTCATTTGTCATTTTCTTTCCAATAAATTAATGTTATTATCACGGAGGTTAAATTCTCCCGAGAATTTTCCATGGATGTCATTAATTTTTACTTACGCATATTCTGGGGGTTTGAAACTAAACAAAAATTTTATGTGAAATATAAAAAAACATTTTTGAAACACCATCTGGGGACATCGCGTAAGTTTTGGTTTATCACGCACACGTGCCAATTTTTTCAAACATAAATGCTGAACTGAAAAAGTAAATTATATTTTTGAAGTTGGAAAAAAGTTAAAAAAAAGTATTAAAAAAATGTTTATTATACATACATAATATGTTATATACTTAAAAATACTTGGAATAAAATCGTTTTTCTTAAAAACAAAATAAAACTGATCAACAAATCAATTAAGGAAAAACATTTTTTTCATAAAAAACATTTAACAAAAATATACTTATAAGTAAAAAAATAAAAGAATTCTCTTAATAATATTTTTTTAAACAAGTCCATCACTTTTTAGTTTCTTGTATTCATCTGGCAGTTCAACTTGATATTTAAAAGTTTCTTCATCGTAACTTTTCACATGTACTTTTATTTGTTCGCCATCAGTCATAGTGCTTTTTAGCTTCTTAAATATTTCTTCTTTATGTGGAACACCTAAAAATAAAGTTAAAAAGTATATAACAGTATGGCATTTTCACTAAAATAAAAATATGAACCCTCAGCTTTTATACATTCCCCCAAACTTTTCCCTGATTGCAATTTAAAACTGAATAAATATTTAACTTCAGTCCAATCTCTATTAATTACTGAAACATCTTAAAACGTTAAAAACTGTAAAAAAGTATATAAAAACAATTTTTTACGATATACTTGACCAAAGAACTGGTAACTTTTAATAATGTAATGTTTAATTTCAAAACTACTTACCAACTAGCTCACACATAATGCCCAAGATAGGAATATTCTTTAAATCGTCAGGATATTTTCTTAAATCTTTTTTAGTTATAATTTCTGTATTTCCAAAATCAACAAACAGAACACTAAATTCATTATTTTCTGAACTAATCACAACACCTCGGTACCATTCTAAAATAAAGTATTTAATTATAAACAATATAAAAGTAAAAACTGAAATAATTTAAGGTTTTACTACAATTTTTGTAAAAATGGTGAGATTTTTTTTATTGAAATGAAGGAAACTGCAATTTTTACAAGGCAATTTTTTTCAGTAAAACAGTATTTTATCAAAAAAAAATTAATAAAACAGACTTTTTAAGAAAAAATAATCTTTTATAAACTTGAAAAGTGATTTAATTGCTAGGCTTTGTAGTATTAAAGTATATTATTTCAGATATTATTAACAAATTATTTTGATGAAATAATGCATTTTACGGCACTGCGATTTAGGTAAATCCCCGAAAAAATCAATTTAGTTCATTTTTTAATCTCCCTTTTTTCCAATGAAAAAAATCCAAACCTTGAAATCTCTACTACAAATATGAGACTTACCGCCATCTTTAAACAAGGCCATACACATTTCCCATAAATTCGGACTGTATGGTTCTTCGTCTTTAATAGTCAAGGCATTCAAATACGTTAACCATTCGACTTCTTGGTTTTCCATCGATAAAATAGTTAATTGATCCATTGCTTCAAAGGAATAACATAGAAACTCATCCTCTTTTCCAATCTCTATTTTTGTGAAAGCCATATCTTCATAATTAACCGGGCCTGATAGTTTAAAAAAAAATACATATATAAGCATAAATTACTATAGTGAATTTAAAAAATGCACAATTTTTGAAATATTACACAGTTCAACACGATTTTCCTCCCATGAAAAATTTTAACAGATTTTAAAAATAGAGGTTAGAAAAACAAAACCATGTCTTACCGTTTCAGGATATCACGTCATTTTTTATACAGCCATTCTAATAATACATATGGGTGATTCTACAAAAGTTGGACAACTTGATGTCATCAATCAAAAGAGTAAGTATTTTAATATTTTTTGTAAATATTTTAGTAAATTACAGGTTTTTTAACTTGTCCACCCAATTTTAATTTATTTTATTAAAAGCACGTTTGTAGAAAAGCATAATAAATATTCAAAACATCAGTACCTTGGCGTGTCACAACTAGGATTTTAAAGGGTCGGAAAAACTGGGAAAAACCTGTTTTTTTACCCAGGGCTTGGAAAAATTGGCTTTTTTGGGAAAAATTGATTATTTTTTGGAAATATACACATTTGAAAAAAGTAGCAAATAATAAATTAACATTATTATAATTAAAAAAAAATCCCTTATTACAAAAAAAATTAAGTTAACATTGAATTAAATTAAATTCATTAAGGAAAATAAATGTAAACGTTAACTAAATTGTTGGTTGGGTCTTTTTTGCAAAAAGAAGTCCATTAAAAATATCCAACTACAAAATAATGAATGATTTATAAAGTTAAATTACAAAATTATAATTTTATAAATCAAGTGTGAAATAAATATGTTGAATATGTTTTTTGCGGCCCGGTAGAATATTGTTAATCAGCGTCGGAAATTAATTTTTTCTCGATATCAGTGTACAGATTAACCTTAAACATTTGGAAATTTTTAGAAAAATTGACTTTTGCATTTTTTTGTTTTACCCTTTGAATAAAATTTTAAAAATGAAAGTCATTTTTTCTGAAAATTTCCCAATTTTTCCGTTTTTTTCCGGGAAAAAAACGGTTTTTTTTTCGCCGGTTCAATTTTTTCGGAAATTTTAAAACCCCAGTCACAACTCCTGAATCAAATATTTGAGTGATTTTATTTAAAAATATGTTCAATTTATCTTAAATTTTTCAATTTTACTTCAAACTATAAAACATTAAATAATGTATTCTTCATATTTTATCATAGATTCGAATAATAGCAATTTTTAAAAAATTGATAATCTTTGTACTCACTTTTACCCGTCAATTCTGTGCCTAATGTTAAAATTCAAAATTCCTGCGAAATATTGAAGTTTAAACGTTGTCCTCGTTTAAGCTCAAGTGTTGGTAAAAAATTACCGACAGAGCCCGCCCTTTGCACGACAGTTATCTTGAAAACAATGCAAGCGGCGAAGTTGCGGTGAATGCACGTATAGTTCCAGTCAAAATTTCAGTACTGTGGTGAGTAGTTATTTTCTTATGTATATATATTTCATTGTAATTTATATAAGGCTATATGTGATTTGTTAATAAAAAATATCAGTAAAATACTTAATTCCGAATTATAATCTCAAATTTGCATTCATCAGTACCGTGTCGTCAGTTCCATGTTAGATGTTTCGGTTATCTTTTTTTCGCAAACTTCAATTTAAATTCTGCTTGCGCAGAAATTGTTTATTTAATGTCATTATAAACTAAATCTAATAATTGAGATATTGGTATACCCAAAATAAACCAGCCGCCAATGATGTGTGGTATTATTTGATTTTAAGATATTTAATGTATAATACGCTCAAAGTTGCAATAAATCTTATATTTTCCAATAAATTATGTATTTAATTAGTACCCTGGTGTACTTATTACTTCCCTTGCAGTCAAATTTAGAAAACACAGATATTTTGGTCTGGAACAGTATATTTATTATATTATCTATGTTTTCATAACAAAATACTGTTTAATTTTCTCCGAAAACTATATAAACAAAATGAGATCAAAAGTTTCCCCACTTTTGTAGTATCACCCATATACAGATATTTAATTTTCTATTTTGTTATAAATCTTTTTTCAGATATTAGAACTTAAAATTATTTTAATTTTTTTTTAATAAAAAAAATAATTTCTATGTTTAATATTTAATTTTTAATATAAAACAACAGATTTGTATTTATATGTATAAGTTTTATATCAATGTATGTTGGAAAAAAATCTTGATAATTATACATAGCTTTAGAATCTATATTGGTATCATAGCCCAAAAAACACTACTGATATATTTCGTAAAAGTGCAACACCCTGTATAAAATTAAAATAATTTTAAAATGGAGCTTTAATGGTTGTCCAGTCTAGCTGTTATAGAAGCTGCTATATTATCATAATATAATATAATATTATTATGTGCCGAATACCGTGGATAACATTTTATTCGATCGCACTAAAAAAAAAATGAAATCCGAAAAAACGGGTATAATTTTTTTAATCATGTTTTCAAAATCTGTAGAAATTTCACAGGGGAGAATTTTGTCGTACCGTTGTTATACCTTTTTAAACTTGAATTAAAATGTTAAAATAAGGTTTAAAAAAAAATTTTAAAATCTTTAGTGGCCCATTAAAATGTCGATAAAAGCCGAGAGATATCTTCATAATAATTTGAGTTCTGTCTACTTACGGATTTATACCAACAAAATAATTAAAAAGATCACATCAAAGAAAAAAATCTCTCACCTGAACTCTTGCCTGTTTCTGCTGGCTTTTTAACGTCTTCCTCTTTTTTCTCTGGAACTGGAACCTCAGTGACTTTTGGTTTTTCCACTAATTTAGGTTCTTCTGCCTTTGGTGGTGGATTGACTAAATCGGCCAAAACTTTGGACATTTTAATCCCATTTTTGAGAACAAAATCGCAACCTCCGTCCAAAGTAACAGTCAATTTGACCTTATCCATAATCAAATCTTCGATGAAAGCGATGGAATCGGGGTTTTTGAGGTATTTACCCAAGTCGGGGAACGTGGGGGATTTCGCGAGGGTCGCGGGGAATCCCGCCAGCTGCGAGGTTACGTTGCGCAGCGCTTTCAGAGATATGGACACGTTGCCTGTCACGTCGATGTAGCTTACCGAGACGATTGGTAATTTTACGTCGGTCACTTCGGCGCGGAAAAGACCGGCGCACTCATCTTTGCCGCATAATACCATCTGGCCTTTTTGCACAGTTTCCAAGTTCAAGTCTTAAACAAAAGTATGTTTTACGTTTTTGTTGTTGATTTTTTTAGAATCGTTTTGTAATTATTATTACGATAACAAATTTTAGTTAAAAAGTACAATAAATATAAAGAAATAATTTAAAAAAATTTAATATTCGTTGAATTTTTTTATTTAACTTATATTACAATCAAATAAAAGATATGTTTTTGATTTAGGGCGATTCCGCGGGAGACGATTTTTGACATACATTTTTAAATCACAGAGTTTATTACTTTTTTTATACCTATACAAAGAGAAAGATATATATTTAATAATAAAAAAACTTTTAAGAACTTAAGTTATTATTTGAATTTTTTGGCGCGCTCAGAAATGGTGGCGCCTGGACTTGATGCAAACTATTCATCGACACTTGATAATTTTTCCATGAAATCGCTATTACCGGTGGTTTGAGGTTATATTTCACTGATAAATATTGAAGTCATAACATTTGTTTATTGCCTTATATAACAAAATTAAATATTTATTATTATTTTTCTAACAATATTGATTAAATAAGAAACCATGGTTGGTCAGTTGCACCCGCGATATAAAAGAAATGAAAGTTTGGTTTTCTTGAAGAAATAAATTGGTAATTTTTTGAAACTTTGTAGAAGTTAGAAGAAATAAAAGGAAAACTTGATTCAGTCGCAATAGAACGTAAGTTGTCATTTTAATTAAAATTAATGTTGACTAAAATGAGTTGCACCCGCGATCAAAATATTAGAATCGCGGGTGCAACAGTTATGACTCTTACGATTACATTAGGGAATTTTTAGCGAGTTACCGGTAATAAAAAGTTAAAACCATTCTATTTTAGCGAGTAACCGGTAACTGCATGAAATGTCAAATCAGTAACCGCGGTTAAGAATTGAGCTCGGAAAGCAATTGTTAACAACGCTGAAGAATTTTATGATCAGGCTCGTCGCCTTTCTCCAAAAATTTCTTTTATATTTGTATCCCAAAAACAAATTAAAGAATGAAAAACCATGTTAAATGATAGGTGGAAAGGACTAAAAAATATACCAGCAATTCAATCAAAACATTTTTTTCAATTTGATGAGGGTAAGAGCATTTGTGTTGCACGAACGTCGAAGTCTAATTTGAAAAGCAAATTAGTTTTGACAACTGCTACTAAAAAAAAACGTAGAAAAGTTACAAAAAAAGTTACGCAAAATTTAGGCGTTTCTGATGTTACAGCGATTCTGAAGATGAACCTTAAGGCTGATAAATAGCCGACTATTCCAAACAAATAATTTATTTCAGTTACATAGGAAAGTGCTAATTAGTGATAATACAGCATCTATGATCTCATATCTTTAATTTAAAGTTACATGGAAATGTTTATATTCACTACAGTGAGACGTGTTGCACCCGCGATAATTTTACGTTGCACCCGCGACTGGTTAAAAAGTGAATAATTTATAAAATTTATTTCTTTTAATAATTTTATTTAAGTTAATAATTAGTTTGTTTTGTATTCTTTTAAAGAATGTAAAAATAATTTAATAAATATTCCATAATTAACAGACTTTTTTCATTCTAGCTTCATGAACTTTAATGGTGGGCCGATTTCGTTGCACCCGCGATAGCACTTTGAACCTCTACTGTGTCTATTTATACATTTTATTAAATGTTTTTTATATCAATTTTTGTAACACAGATTACAATGTAAACCTGCGACCAGTCATTTCTTTAAAAAGAGTTTTTATTTTCTTAGTAAGAAGCCTTGAGTGAGTCTAAATGTTGCACCCGCGAGTACGGAATCGCCCTTTAGTATTTTGGAAATAATATCCATTTAGAAAAGGTGCATTAAGGAGGTTTGGGCAATACATCATGGGGAAAGGGGTAAGGGGATAAATAGGGATAGGTACAGTGGTGGACACGGAATTTGGAACATCATAATTTGGTTGTCCATGTATAATAGGGTTTTCCTTATTTATATAAGTATAACAAAAAATAATGTCCATAAATTTTCAGCTCTATTCTTTGAAATTAACCTGTGCCGCAGAGAGAAGGAAAAATTGCAATGCATATAAAATTAAGCAGTCGTGAAATGTTATTAATATTTTTATTATAAGTCAGCTTACATAAAAATTTTAACAATGAGGAAGTTAAAGTTTGGTTTTTAATTTTTTCATAATAAATTTTTGTAAGTAGTAATAATTGTGCATTTTTAATTTAGCCACAAAATTGTTCCTGTCGTGGTAAATACAGTGCCGTCCATATTTTTTTAATCGATAATATGAATTATTAAAAATTTCCTCTTAAAAACTGACATAGTGGGCCTTGTATTTTGTAAAAGTATGGCTCCAAAAATAAAGTTTTTCAAGATCTACACTTTAAAACAAATCCGGCTAAAATTGCACTATAAATAAAGATTTTGCATAGGTGAGTCGCAAAAAAATGGCACTGTATATTCATACAACTTCTTTTTAATTAAAAAGATTAGACAATATAGAAGGTGTCCCTAAACTTAGTAGCATAAATTTAGGAGCAGATTAAGTAAGTCAAAATAAGACGAAAATCTAAATAAATATTTTTCCTAATTACGTATGTTTAAAAGATACAGGGTGATAAAGTGTTACTTATCATATCAGTTTTTTTAATATAACTTCTACTGTGATAGACTTGGAAAGGTGATATTTTGCGAACAGTCACTTACTACCAAAACACATATTCACACATAATTACAATTGTTCGTGAACACAGCGTCGTAGAAACAGGGGTTGCTTAAGCTTATTATCCCATACAAACTTTGAGGTTATGTTTTTATAACATTTGGTGCAATTTTTCGATTACTTGGTTTGGCTACTATTAAAAAGGTGTACCTCTCAAACTTCGATAAAATAAACCGTTTCTGAGATATTCGAGATTTCAATAATTGTTATATCGCATTAAAGGATTGGAAGGTATATGATAACAAATTTTTTAATTGAAAAAAATACAATTTTTTTAATGTGACGGTCAGGGCAAAAAGTCCTGAGGCTCATGGAATGTTCTTTTTAGTTTTTTCAATTAAAAAATTAAATTTGTTATTATATACCTACCTTTAAATCCTTTTAAATAATGCGATATAAGAATTGTGTAATCTAAAAATTGCATTAAATCTTATAAAAACCTAACCTTAAAGTTTGTATGGGACAATAAGCTTAAAGCAACCCCCGTTTCTACGACACTGTGTTCACTCAAATAATTATAATTATGTGAATATGTGTTTAAAATATCACCTTTCCAAAACTGATATATAATATAATACTCTTTATCACCCTGTATCATGGAAACATAAGTGATTAGGAAAAATATTTATTTGGGTATTCGTCTTATTTTGACTTGCTCATTCTTTTCCTAAATTTATGCCAATAAGTTTAAGGACACCTTGTATATAATATATTATATGGGTTATATGTATTAATATTGCATTAAAAGCCTTTGATACAAGCTAGAGATGTAAAAAACGATTTTTTTTAGATTTGAAAAAACTAGATGTTTTTGTTTTCAAATCCGCTACAATAAAGCATATTCTGTCAATAAATAACACCAATCTTAAAAAATTCAATATAAAATTTTGAGCAAAATGTATATTATTATTAAAGTGAAATTTAGAATTCGCTGTCAAAATTACAAGAATAGTGATAACCGGAAATAAGGTTAGCTGTCCATAACGGAAGTTTAGATTTTGATGTAAACGGAAATCTAAACCTACTTTATGAATAAATAACTTTACTTCCGGTTCACTATTCTTGTCATTACGGAATGATAGTCGTTCGAAATTTTGTGTCCACCATTTTTTAAAATAATTATAAAATCTGTTAAAAAATTGGCGGTTTTTTAAATGAAATGTAATAAAATAACAACATAAATTTTGTTTTTGCATGTTGGTACTATGGCGGATACAAAAGGCACTATACCCTTTTTCATTTGAAATATATACACTTGAGTGAACCCGATTGACAAGATGCCCCTCCCCAGATGTATTGTAAGAGGGTTGCAGTAGGCGACGATTTTGCATAGTATATTTCGAGCGTTTTAACATAAATTAATTTCTTTTATTTAAAATTAGTTATAAGTTGTAATGTCCTACACATTGCAAGAGAAAATTGACATGATAAGCTGGTCTTTAGTGGGCAATTCTCTATGTCAAACAAGAGACCTATTTTCAGTTTAATATCCGGATCGTTCTATTCCGTCAATTAGAACAATAACAAACGTTATCCAAAGGTATAAAACAAATGGTTGTATTTAATTAATTAATTTATTTTAAGTATTTTGTTATCAAGATATTTTATTTTTTATTTTATTTTTTTAAGAGTATTTGTAAGAAGTAATTACGTTACATTTTAAGTACCTGTATCATTTTTATAAGTAAATGAACTTAATATTGCGTAATTCGTTTTTAAAATCCAGAGGAAACTTCGACTATCACCCAACGACGGTGAAAATAAAGCAACAGAAAACATGCAGTATGTTGAATTCAGTGAAAGTCTAAAGAGAAGAGAAGAAAACCAAGGTAGAAGGGTGGTCTAATTATTTAAAAAAAATTACTTAATACAATGGCGTTTTTTTTTTAATTAACTTTACAAACGAAATTATGGTAGTCACTAAGCGAATCAAAACAAATATCCCAAATATCCCTAGATAATCAAGCCTGTTGGTAATCCAGTGTTGCCGGATCTTCTAGGCAATAGTGACATATTAATAATTTTGGTTGTACAGTCAATATTATCATTTATTATTGCAAAACGGTGAGGTAAAAGTTGCGACTAATATCGCTCCCGAACCTCAAAGAAAACTGTCATTACTTGTTCCAACCCTGTTAATTTTGTTTTAACAAACCCTCATAATATTCATCTGTCAACCATCCACATTATTTGAGTTGTTTCAGTAACAATCATTAGATGTGAATAATTTCAGCTTATAAGAAGACAAAACGTTTTTAAATGCTTAATAATTCAAAAACTAACTGTGAGAAAAATGTAGGACATTT